GAAGAAAAGGGTTTTTTATTTATTGTTACTATCAGGTTTATCAATTTTAGACCTAGGAAAAATACTACACAACTCAGTCCAATGGTCAGAGCTCATGAAAAGGTAAAACAGGAACAGGAGGATCTCCCTGATAGAAGGGTAGCACTTTTTGATTTTACTAATCCAACCTTTTAGGAAACAGATAACCATTCTAATGTTAGATGAAGTTAGATGAAAAAAATAGTCACAAAGAAAACATTCACCTGAGCAGTCTTAAAGGTAGTTTTCCTTTCCTTCATTACACAGTAGTCTAAAAAAATTTAAGAATCAGAGAGACTTCTATTCAAGGTGCACTTTGTGTGGTCATGATTTCAAATATAAAAGTATTACAGCTTTAATATCAATAACTTTTAAACTTAAGTTACAGCTAAAAATTTGGTGTCGTACCAAACAATGTTTTTCATTCCACTTTTCCATTTGAGCTACCTTAAGTAGCATTCAAACTAGAAAAAGTACACCAGAAAGCTGGTACATTCACAAAAAAACTTCCAAGTACTAATGTAGTCTTCAACACCTTCAAGTTACCGCTACTTCTACAGAAGCAGAAAAAGCTCCTGGTAGTTTTGTCTAGAGAACCAGGAATATTTTCCAGGCCGCTGTTCTTCTTCCCTTGCCACCTTTACATGGGAGCTCTGCTGCAATATTTATTCCACTCATGCTGCTCTTTGTCACATCACACTGCTTAGCATTGCACAGCTGCAAAAACCACCTGCTACTCCCATGTAGCTATTGTTTTTGCCACCTCCCCCACACCTCATCATTCTTTCTGAAAAGGATTTGCTCAGTCTCCTGTAAAGGCTATCCCCTCTGCCTTTTTGCAACACTGCAAATGGGAATCCCAGGTGGCTCCTGCTAATTATCCATGTGCCTTGGGAGTCTAATTCTTCCCATTGTTAATATACCAATCTTTAGCCACAAAGTCACTTCATATGCTAATCAGAGACCAGCTGATCCCAAGCTAATACTTCACGTACTCAGGAGAACTGATCTGCTGGGGGTATTAACAATAGCAGAGCAAGATGAGCTTCGGAAAATAGTTCCCAAAAGATACTGTATCACTTTCTCTTTTAGTCCAACCCCTTAATAAAAAAATTTGCTTGTGAACTTGCAGCATGGTCATTACCCTCACTTGCTGAGGGCAGCCTCTTCACAGACAAGAAGAAGCTGAAAAATTAGATTTTCCTTTTACACTGTTAGAATCTAATTTAATAATTGTTAAGTTTAAGTCTTACCGGATTTTCTATTTAAAAGTTTTGGTGTTTATAGAATGCCTGAAACACCAGCTTCAACCGAAAATCAAGATGAGCATTTCTATGAATAGAAATACTCTATGAATTAAATAGTCTAGGCCACGACTGAGAACTAGGCTGCTGAGAACAACGTACACTAACTTAGGAAATTTCTACTTTCCACTCACCCTCTGCATTCCCCACAATATGCCATCCCTTCAGCCTCATTTAGTTCACCTGAAAACAACTGTGCCAGCACAATGAAAAAGGCAGCATGCTATAGCATCTGGGGCACACAAGGTCTGAGAATGTCTTGAGCTCATACTGGTATCAAAGAGCAATAGTCTGAGTTTATGGTCTGAGTAGACGATACAGTCTTCTTGAATGTCTTGAAATACAGAAACTCCACCAACATTTCAAGTCTGTTGGGACATCAGAATATGAAATGCCCCATATAAAATCCAGACTATGTGAGGATTTTTCATCATGGCTTCTTGCATGTAGATAGCTCAACATTTCCACTTGGTTAACAGTGTATTCTAAGTCACTTTGGAGATGCTTATGTGCAACACTGGGAACAGCCCTTTGTTTATATCCCAAAAGGCAGGAATCAGCAGAGTTTCTATAGCCTGTAGCAGTGCCCGACACAAGTTTTCATCTGAAGAGCAATTTGCTCAATGGTAAAATAGTGATTCAAGCAAAGTTACCTACTCGTCTTACAAGCTAGAAAAATATCTATGAGATGGAAACACACACCGTTTTAAAAGAGAACCAAGCAAAATTTATGGCGTTTTGTTAAGTTGGTTTTTCTGTTGAGTTTTTTGGTTTTTTCGGGTTGTTTTAGTTTTTTTTTTTTTGAGGATGTGAACAAGAAGTTCCTTCATTAATGGATTTCAAATTGTTGCATAAGTCGCATCCTTTAATTTCGCTAAATCAAAAGCTAGGAGTTTTGCACAGTATTTCCTCTAATGAACCACCAATTCAATCCTCCATTATAACATATTCATTTCATGACTGAGTGTTCTTCAGATTTAATTTATGGTGCCAATGAAAGACAAAGGATCCTGCAGCTGTATAAAAGTTCAAACAGCTCAGAAAAAATAGCAGGCACATCCAGCTGTTTGAGAAGCATCATGAGATTGCTACAAATCTGGAATAAAAAAAATCCCTTTATATACAACAAGGGTTCTGCCATAGAGTAAAACATTCACCTAAATGAGTGTCATGTAAATAATGTAAGTGTAACAGGAAACTACAACAAAACATATTTTACCATCTAAGTGTGTTCTAGATATAAATAACATCAATTTTAATGTATTTTATTATTAGGGCTAAAAATCATATGCAAGCCCTTCACATACAAGTTAAGTATATCCTTTCAAGGCCATGCCTGTCCGGATTCCAGAGTATTGTCCCACTTACTTTAGTTATAATACTAATACACCTGTCTTACACAAATGCTGAAACGGGCATTGGCACAATAACCATTTCAGAAGGTCATCACAGAGCAGTTAAACATGCCGTCTCCCAACTGAAATCAGTGCATCTCTGGAGGTAAGACAGAAAGCAGCAAAACCCCCTGGCATTCCTCTTAAAATAGCTTTGCAGAGAGCATTTTATACACAAAAGGCAGCTGGTTATGCTTTAACAGACACTTTTGTAAACAGAATTGATCAACAGATGTGCAATGCTTATAGATGGTTATCAACATAATCTTCATTTTCAGAACCAATAAAACTGGACATTATGCCTATTCTCTGAGCCATTCACCTACCTCAGAAGATAAACTGGATTCACTAATATCTGCTATGGGATTGATAAAAACTTGATGTCAAAAGAATTGAGCATTAGAAAAAAAGAGAGAAATGGGAATGTCCAGATAATTGCAGCATTTCAGTCTGCATATAGGCTCTTCACTGATCTGAAACTGCAAACAGACAAGTCAATGTGAGGAAAGTGAAGGGAAAAAGACTCTGAAGCAGATATATATTTAGCAGCAGGTTAGATGGAGAGAAAAGGCTCAAGGACAATGGCAGGTCTTTTCTTCCTTCAGCTAAACCCCCAATGTATTTTTGTGAAAGCAAGCTAGTCTTTTGCTTTTAACTGTAGCCCCAAACTGCATTATGTCTCTTGGGTGCTTTGATTTTTTTCTCTTTCTAAATCTCAGCACATAGACAGCTCCAGGGCTCAGTAGGAGAAATTATTAAAAGCATGCCTGCAGAAGTAAAGAGATCAGTCATTTCCCTTATCCCCTGTGTTTCATGAGCGCTCCCCCACCCATGCAGCATTGTATGAGATTTCATGCAACCAGACTTGTCCTTTTAAAACAGACTGAAAATTTTAAAATCCTTTAAGGGTAGGCATAGTGTTCCTTCAGATTGTAAAGAGAAACACAGAAATGTGCTTCAATTCTTCAGAAAGGTCACATTCACCTTCAGAATTCTATCAAACTTTTTTTTTTTTGCCCTGTGCAGTTCTATTATCTTAAGTAATTTGTAACAGTCTTTACAAAATATACTGGAGTTTCATAAAACACAAAATCTCAGTGTGAACATGATGCAAGCAATCTTTGCCTAGTTATTTTTTCCTAGGCTGCTTGAAAGTCCAGATGTTTTTCCAACTGTCTTTTTTCCTGTTCCACTATTGCAAATGCATAGGTCCCTTCTTTAGAATTACCATTCTATAAGCATTTTCAACTTACTAAAATTTATTCTGAGCTTCCCAGTCCATTTTTCCAAATAAAAATACACATATTTTGGATTAAATATGACTTACTGTATTAGAAACATGACATTAGAAAGTTTTAGCAATTATCTTCAGTGTATTTTGACAAAAGCAAATGTGCTGAAAGCGTGACACATTCTCATAAAACAGTAAGTGGCTTAAAAATTAGGAAAAAAACTTTTTAAACAGGCTCCTACTTCCAATGTCTATAGCTACATCTCCAACCTTGTACCTTCACCATTAAAATGTTACTGTGCATTTAACAGTATCGGAAAATGCCCAATAATCTTCATTAGAGTTTGTCAGGAAGCTGGTTTTAACCCCCTACTCCCCCAACCTAAAGACAGCAGAAAAAAACTGGAAAATGCTGTTCATTTTCATCACCCTTACCCAAATACTCTCCAGCCGTAAGTAGGTATGCCCGCGTTTCAGAGAGTTCTTTGCTCTAGACTACTGAACCCTAAACATTAAACATTTGATATGCATTTCAAAACTGCTATTTGACACACACTGGAGAACAAACTGCATCTTGTCAGAGTCAATATGAAATTGAAGAGACCCCATTTAGCCTTTAGAACATGAAGCAGAAAGACATCACTGTGCTTACTCTGTCTGCTAAAAACAGATTTACCAATAGACTGCTATAGTTAAGGATACATCTCAACTACAGGATTTTCCTTCATACACCTGCATGGGATCTCTGACGAAGACTGAGTTGCAATAACATCACTGATTTCTGCTAAAGTCTTTAAATGCATATTGTCAAAAAAAAAGTTCTGTTTTATAGCAGTTACACAGATGAATCATCATCAGTACCTGAAGTGACAGAGCAGATATTCTTCTACAGTGAGAAAAAGGTAGTGTAAAATAAACTTACTTTGTTATCCTAACGGTTAAGGAAATTCACTACAACTACCTCAGGGTAAAAATATTTATGGAAAAACAACACAGAATTTTGAACATACAAGTGGCTGAGAATCAGCTTCAGAAAGGATTTCTAGAACTTACCTATGGTGCAGTTTGTGGTTATTTTTCTCCGCTTGGGGTTGTGTCGTAGCAATTCTAACTCTCGTTTGGTTGGCTCCCATGTTGAATACTTCTCTCCAATGCCTAAGCAGACGAAAAGAAAGTTTCCGGAAGTTATTTAGTAAAAGGATTAAAAACTGTTCAAGTAAAAATTTTCAACGTGCTGTCCATTAAGTTAGATTCAATCTATGTACAACTACAAGAGACTGATTTCTTTTTATCCCTCCCCCCTCAAATATTGTTCAGAAAGATATCAACCAATGTTCCAACAAATAAGAACTAAAAGAAGAAAAGAAAAGCACTTCTTTATTTATAAAGAATACCTAGTCCAAATCATTTTTCCATTATTGGATTACAATCCTCCTTTTAGTTAAAAAGAAATTCCAGCACAAGAATAAATCCACCATTACTCAAAAATGCATTCCTTTGTGCTCAGAGGAGGTCCAATGACAGAACCACCATATGATTTTAGGAGAAGATACAGGATAACCAAGAAATCTCATCACCAAACTTTGACAAGTTGTTAAGTAAATCAAAACTGACCCAACTTAATGGACAGATACAGGCTTAATCTTTACAGATGAACAGCAGAATTTAGTAATTTGTTATACTAAACAGCTACTACATGTCTTAGGATATACCATTATAGAGCATGACCTCTCCTTATAACCATTGATGTAGAACTGGATATTAGCAAGTTCTAATACTTGAGATTCACTTTACTGACATATCTAACATTACCTAAAAATGCAATTAGTGGTAGGTTTAAACACAACCCTCCCCCCACCAACCAACCAAAACTTTCCAAATACTTAACTACCCTTTCTCATGAGCTGCAGCTAAAATCTGCCATTATTCTCTTTGAACATCAACACTGTATTTCCAATACATTTCTTTTGTTCAAAGGAAAGCACAGTAGAAATGAGTCAGGTAAGTGGTACAGAGAATAGATCTGAAGTATGCACAGAGTTGTGTTCAGTGTAAATCTGATACAAGAAAAACACAACAGTGAAGACTCATGTGCTGACCAGCTAAGTAGTGCTGCAGCATTCTATGTAGCACAGAGAAATTACCATGCAAGGTCAATTACAGTGAGTCACAAAAGCATCTTGGCATTAAAAATAAAGAATAATAAGATGACAAGCAATCTATTCTAAAACTGAGGATTAAATTCAATTAAGAGTTATTTTTCACAGAATGCATGGAGCAGAAACAGTGCTGCGCTACAGAAAATAAATTATAAATCATACATATGAAAAGAAGGAGAGTAGAAAATATAGCTAGAGGCTTACACATTCTGCATAATATACATTAAATTTGAATAGCTCTTTGATCTTCATTTTCAGAAATAGCTATGCTTGTCAGAAGCTGCCCACCCAAAAATGTTCAATTCATAGTTACGACTGACCCTCCAGGTTCTAGTAGTAAAAGGTCTCATTTTCAGATTCTTGAGGACTAGAAATTTCTTATTTACATAGATGCACCCATCTCTCACTTTATTTGATTCAACAATAGATTATGCAAGAAGCATAAGAAAGAATACCAGAATCACATAGTCCCTTTCCTTTATCCAAGGTTCAGCATCAAGCTACACACCCAGGAAAACAGAAAAGGAAACTAATTACTGTGTAACAGATTGATGAAATAAAACAGCTGCAATGCTTTGAATACACTATACAGTATGCATAGGCAAACGAATGAAGCAACTTTAAGAGACGCACATATGGACAGTTCACATAACGACAGAACATTGGCTTGCAACAAGTTTTATATTAGATTACTCCAGCAACCCTTTTCATATTTGTAATACTCCCTTAGCAATTTATATAAATTGGTTTATAAAAAAGCCCAAAATAATTTTCAACACTGTGTTAGTACCAGCTATTGCACTGGCCAGCTGTAAACTTGAACTCTTGCATTTGGGTTCACTGTAGTTTAAACACGGCCAAACACAGTTAGTATAGTCTGACAACGGGATGAAATCTCATAATAAACACACAAACAACTTGGATATGTTTAAATCCTGGTTTAAATCAAATATAACAAAATTCACACCTGGAAACACATGTGCGCTCAACTTCAGGCATGCAATAGTTCCACATGCCAGTGGGACTATTCATATATATTTATATATATCCATATATAATTATATAGCTTAAATGCTTATAGAGGATGCGGACCAAAGCATTTCACAAGAGCAACTCTTCAAGTAAAGTTAAACATGACAGACTGGATTACTTTGCAGGATTCTGGGTGAAACAAATATTGTTCAATTAAAAAGAAATGAAACCAAACAGAAAACCATGTACAGTTAATGCCACAAGAAATACTGAGCAAAACAGACAGAAAACTTTCTTACAGAAGCCTTTCATTGGAAAGAGCACAAGTTAAGTCCGAGACAGAAATTAATGTTCTGTTCCAGCTATATAATTTAACAAGAATATTGAGGTTTTATTACTCTTCAAAATTTGGAAAGAAGACAGAACCATTTATTAGGAATGGTTCGGAGTATTAGGAATGGTTCAGCGTTTAAAATTTAAAAAAAAAAAAACAAAAAACAAAACACAACCAAAAAAACCCACCAAACAACAACAACAAAAAAACAAAGAAGGAAAAAGGTTTAATAAAAGGTTTAATAACACCCATAAACATGCCAAAAACTCCAATATAAACTACCTTAAATAAAGATTTGCAAAACATGCACAGGTTACCATTTACAATAAAAGGAAAGTAGCGTCCTAAGAGTGAAAATTCATCATTTTAAAAATGATGCTACAAAATAGCCAGAGAATCAAGTCAGCATGTGAAATCTCCATCCAAGAATTAATTTTATTAGGTCAAATACATAAATTGTCATTCAGAGACTTTATCAGGGACATATGGATTGAGTGAAGGAAAAGGCAATGAAGGCTCTAGTTTATAAGTCACAATTTTGCAAGTAATCATTAATATAGATTGTTTACTTTGCTGTACTTCAGCAAATCGCCCTTTTTCCCCTCCCAAAAATCCAAACATTAACTAGAATGAAGGGCTCTGTGTATTCCCAACTCCCTCATTATTAAAGAATATTGAATACCAGAGAAAAAAAATGGTAGAGTTGCAACTTGTTCAGGGTTATATGATATAACTCTGAACTACAGCTGGACATGGAAACTCATCACACTAAGTGTTAATGTTACAAGAGTATGAAATGAATCTCATGATATTTGGGGTTTTTCTTAAAGTTTTTTCTCCAGGCATCATGTTGTTATGTGAGCATCTATTAAAGTATATACTAATACCCTTCAAGCACTGTGGATAGAAGTTTGAAAATATACAACATGGACACTTCAATTTTTAAGCCAATCTCAGTTTTTGCAGACTGGATTCACTTCTTAAGTTCTTTAAGTTGGCAACACTATCTGAGGTAAACTAACTCTGTGGTAGAAATATAAAACAAGACACTGAGTTTGGGGTTTGTACTAATCTTGACATTCAGTTTGGAGGAAGAAGGGTTCCCTCCCCCTTTATAATCTTTCAGATAACATGAGTCACTATGGGAAGGAGGGAAGGGATTGAAGCAGTGGAGAAAGAAGGAAAAAAGAAGACAATTCTCCATTATTTCTCCCATGTATCTCCCCTTCTAATTCCTTAGATAAATATCCAGGGAAACACACATGGTTTCACCATGAAAAGCCATAAAATAAAAGATCCTATGCCATGACTTTAAAGAAAAAGTGTCTATACTGTGTACTTCAGTAATTTAAAGTGTATTGTTGTTGATTCCTTCATTTTATATCTTCATTGGTCATTACAGATTTGTTCTCCAGGGACAGAAGATGCAACGTGCATATTCATATAAATATGCATTCATATATACATATTTAATATGCCATTCATTAGTCAGCTAACCAGTACAGAGAAGATTTTCTGCCTGGCAGTTCCTCTCAGTGATTCTTCCCTTCACCGCACAACTTTGTGGTCCAGGATGAACAATCTTGTAGCTGTAATTACCCTAGAATATAAGCTATAGCAGCCTGATGTCCACTGGAGGACAAACTGGTGCATCTCAGTCCAGAAGGCACAAAATTATCATTTGCTAAGGACAACATAATTAAGAAATTGTTCTTTGAATTTACATATTCAAAAGTAAGGAACTGGGGGGCCTTCCTCTTCAACAGCATCATGAAGAAGTGTTATGTTGTTGTAGTTGATTAATTTGGTGCGCAAAACAACACGGTTTAGAAGGGTTTGAAGGAGTTTTCAGAAGAGGTGCATAGCCTAAATGAAAGATTTAAAAACATGTTTCCATTTTGTCTTGCTTTGAAAACCAGTGCTTTGTGCTAAAGCATTTTAAGCTCTATTTTCTTGTTCTAGGACTCACTGGCAATCTCACTATCCTCCTTTCCTCTGACTCAACTCCCTCAAAATGGGGAATAAGCAGGAAGTAGAATGGGTTCTGTAGTAGGAACTACGTAAAAGCAGCTATACTTTTGATAAAGCTCTAGTTAATACGATGTTAGCTGCTATTTTTAAAATTGGAAATGAGGTTAAGAATGGTTTGAAGTCATATCAGCCCTGACTAAGGCTGTCACATTGAAACAGGATGCCATGGATTCAGTAAGAGACATTACTAGACAGAAGACATCTGTCTTCAAATATAGACTTTCCCACTTTAAGAAAACAGACCCCCTAGAGGCCACTGGAAATGGAAGATGACAAGCTTTTATAACGGATGCTTAAAAACTACTCAGTTAAAGGTGAATGCTACTTCCTTTCCAAAAAAAGGAGAAAAGGTTTGTTTTGGAGTAGTTCTATCAAGGAAAGGGCATATGAAATTAAGTCTGCTGTAATTATTCAATCATTGGAACATATCCAAACAAGAGGAAAACAATTTGCACGATAAAACTGGCATTCTTAACTGTGATTCATGTCTAAAATGGCAGGATAATCAGCAAAGGGACGCTTGTTAGTGAAGTGCGTCGCCAGCCCACGCCTCTTACCTGTCATTGTACACTGGTAGTGAGAAACCACTGTTGGGGTGAAAGCTAAAAAAGAAAAAATTAGGGAAAGCAAACTGAATAAAACAAATGTGTGTACATATATTTGTGTGTAAATATTTCTACATAGATACTGTGCGTGTACCATGAAAGCACAGGTGTGTAAGTAAGCTGGCACGTTCTATTAAAAAAAAAAAAAAATCATCACACACAAGGGTGGCATTTCATGTGAGGGGAACAGATTTATTGCCTATATCACCTAGATTAGCCTAAAGGAGCAGACTGTTACATTTTCTACCTAATACAGATATGACTCTGATATTATGCAAGCTTTGCAGGATTCATGTTAGATTATTTTTATATTTTTTTACAATTAAAAATAAAATATTTTTGCTACAATTGGTGTGACGCACATGTTAAACTAACAGTCTAACTCCTGGAAAGTAACAGCTAGACATCTCTCTCTCCCAAGGCCTGCACTACTATCTCTAAAGAGCTCTTGCCTCCCCTTACTGTTTTTTTGCCATTGACAAATGGGAGGGACAGGTATGATTAAAAACAGAAACAAGAAATTCAGGCAGGAAAACCAAACCTTGTAATTTCCAAGCTTTTCGTTGTTCTTCTTTGGCAATTTGTTCCATGTCTTTGTCGTATATGTAATCTTGACACATAAAGCAGTATATACCCCCATACAAAAGGTCTATGGCTGCAAAACAGAAGGGAAGTTGGGGAGGAGGAAAAAAGACGTGAGTTCATAAACTGGAAGACATTTTAAAGCAGGCTTCCAAGTCAGGCACTCTTTCTTCTCAGCAGTCCACAAAATGTAAAATCTGTACCTTAGAATCTGGAGGGAAAAAAAAAAAGAAAAAACCAGGGAAGTTTTTCCAGTTACAGTATGAGTTATTCAATTGCTTCTGGCACAGCAAGAAAACTGTGCAAGACAACAAAGCATTAGCCGCCTTCAAGTTGTTTGTAATTCACAATATACCTTTCAAAGACATGAGTAACCAAAAGGCATAATTACAGTGACTGACTAAAATACATGCAGAACTAGTACTGTAAGATTTGATCTGTAAGTTTTAATTGTCTTTTTCTAAGACTTCAGTAATTTCTATGCAAAGCTATTAAAATAATTAGAAAGCACCTATCCAAATGAAGACTCAAACAGAAGACAGCACTGAAAGCTCTAAGATACTTGTTGAGGGAATGGTTTTCCGGAGTAGTTTATTCCACAGGTTACACGTCTCACAATTTCTCTTGTTTCACACACCCTTTTAGAATGGACATACGAACACTGACGAATGTTAGAAATATTTTTCTTACACAACCCTAAACAAAAGAAAGCCAAGAAATGAAATAAATCAGCTAACTGGGAAATGACATTTTGCTTCAACATATACCGAGGAAGAAGGAAGTGCAAACCAATCATAGCAAATTGCTGATTTTCAGTTCATAGATATGGAAAAAAGCCAGAATCAAAGTAAAAAAAAAAAAAAAAATTCAGTGGGCACTAACAAATACCTAGCCAGCTGCTAAAATACAATCTGCATCTAGCAGACAGCTGAGAAACACATCAGCATTCTCCCTCAAGAGTGTATCCTCCATTTATTTTATTTCCAAATTCCTTTTATTTCCAGATAAATAGCATTATTAAGAAACATCTCACTGCAGTGGAAACTTGTTTCAAACAAAGGAAACCATTACCACATTAGGTGGCCTGCAAGAAACAGCACTGAATTACTCTGAAGTCATAAATAAGCCAAACTGCACGTTTTTTTTTCTGCTGTCCGTCTCATCAGGCAAACAAAGGTGAAGTCTTTGTGCTCTTCCCCAGTAGTGGGCCAGTGGCCCTGGTAAGGTTGGTAAGCTTGGTAAGGTTTCTTTCTAACCACATCTCATCCATCCTTCACAGCCCCTACTCCTCTTCACAACCTGCTACCCCTCTCCTTTAGTACCCTTTTTTTCTCCTCCTCCTCTTTCAAAATCACTTTTTCAATGGTTATGTCAAATTGTTTGTTACTTCTATTATGTAATAAAGACAACAATTACTTTGAACAAGTTTGCATAATGTCTATTGGCCGTCATCTTCCTTACATGCTTCATTATCTTATTCTGTTGTTCTGTCTATTTGGCCACAATCAGCTTGCAGAAGAGGATAAGGACTGCTTGCATTACCTTGTGTAATGTCCGAACACCAGAATTTTCACCCTGGTGCCTGGAGGACTTAATAAATTCCTTTAGCAAAGTATCACAAGAGGGGATAAGATCTTAGCTGCGATGGAGATCAGGAACAAAACACTATGCCATGGGCGGGAGGGGGGGTGAGGGGGGGGAATCACAATTAAGCTACAGAGTATTAGAGTTGTATAATATCTACTCCATTATCTATTGCACTACCAGTTATGCACAGTTTTCAACTAAGAATTGTTAAAAAAACAAAGTATTGGTCTCAAAACACAAAATCAAATATATTGTTCTCCACATATTTTTTAAAAGATCGCATAAACAGCCCTTCCCCCGCCAAAATAATAGAACAGGGCTGGCAGAATATTAAATAAATAGGACCCTCTGTGAGCACTAATACTTTCAATCTACCATCAGAATAGGTAGGCATACATTGTACTCAGAGGAGTCCTTACTTTTCTCAGCTTTATGGATTTCCATGCATGAGTGATGAAGTATAGATGTCAAGATCAAAACCAACAAGAGACTATCTTACACAAACCACTTGTGCAGAGTAGAATGAATTTCTGGCGTAAAGAATCAGAAAGTTTAAGAGAAACACTGGCGGAGTAAAAGCCGTAATTGTCCAGCGCCTGATTAAGGACTCTTGAGAAAATGTCCTCTCTCCAGCATACTTATGTGAACAATACAGTTGTATATATGCCAACACTTTCAATGTCATTAAAAAGACTGCAATAGGTTTTAGACAAATTACCTCAAGCCCCAGTGACGAGGCGGCCATACAGGCCTGATTACAGCACAAAGGAAGGGCAGGAGTTTTGCATGAAAGCCAAAACACGGCTGCTCAGTTTCAGGATCCTAGGAAAAGAGTCCACTAGTAAAGTTTGTAAGTTAATTGTTTCAGATTAGTATAATTTGAATTTTTCCCTTGAAATGTACTTTAACCTTCTTATTCTGGTCATCTGGAGGTGAAAAAGAATGTTTTCTTTAGGGCAAAGGGCAAAATATCCACTACTAAGTCACTCTGGTGAGCCACCGTGCCCACAGAGCCAGCCTGCGGGGCCTGGCAGGTGCTGGGCAGAGGGTCCCCAACGGAGGAACCATCGAAAGGACTCTTACTGACAGAAGTTCTTCCAAAGCAAGCAATTTGTTAGCAATAACTGAAGTTACAACACACATAAAGGACAAAGTCCATACAAAACTTTCTCCGTCAAACGACTGGGGAGAGGGGGGAAAACTCATTAATAGCAACAGGCTAAAACTTTTTTTTTAACTAAATTGCTGTGAAGCTGTACCCTAAACTGAAACATCTGACCAGAAAATTCAGTTTAAAAAGTATGAGAATGTATGTGTAACAAATTTCTTCATTTGCATTAGCATTTAGGATCACAAAACGGGCCTCAAATTCCTAAAAAGTTTGGGAACTACTAACCAAGAAATGATGCCTCGATGTTTCAGATTAATCCACTGCCAACTCTGCCATGATGCCCCAATTGCTCACGATAAACATCCCTTTTACAAGGCTCCTCCAGAATGGCTGCTGCTCCTACCTTCCAGTATCTGCTTTTCCTAACATTACTACTACCCCTCTTGGGAGGGGGCGGGGGAGTGAAATCACTCTATTTTAATTCAGTTTTATCTTAATACATGTACAGAATTGATTACACTGGAAAAATAAAATATACATTCAGTAGAAATACACTTTTTTCCTTTGCTAGGGAAGAACCAGAAAAAATTTAAACGAATCATAGTGTTGTTTTATTAAATTTGATCAATCTAGTTTCCTGTTTCAGGAATTCAGAATACCTACTTGTGGATCACAGGCAAAGTAATTTAAGAATGAAAAGGCCTCTTGGAATGTAATATTTTTCTTGCTTTTATACCTTCTATGCTGACAACAGGCTACCATTATTTTAACGTCAGATCTCCTCGTACCCCTTCCTATACAAAATTCTGAACAGCTGCAACACAAGAGAGAGAAAGTCAAACGATATCTCATTTTTCATTTAAAAATAAAGTATCAGCCTGGAGAAACAATGAGGCATCACAGAAGATCATGCGGAATGACAGCAACTTTATCTACTGGTGCAAGTGACAGTAAGTTTTGAAAGACAACAGCGCAGGGGTGAAAGTTTAAATTTAGGCAGCAATAAGTCTTCAAACCCTCCATCTGGGAGCCAAGTAAAGTGTTTTGTTTAAGCCTGGGTGCTTTACTTTGCCAAATATATCCACTGACATCCTTATGAAAATGTTAAGAGACCAGAGATGATGGGAACATAACAACAATATGTAAAAAATCAGGGAAGCATACTATGTCCAGAGTATGCGTGTGCACGTGCACGTCTCATCCAGTTAAGAAACCTGTATATTCAGTTTTTTTAAAAACTCACGTGAACAGAACTAACTTTACTCAGTTGAAAATGGGATACTTCACCACATTATACGACAGCCTTCCATCAGATATGACATATTTGTGAACCATGTTTTGGTATCATCTTCCTTGGAACACTGGTTGCATTCAAGCACAACAAAACATACAGCAAGACAGAATTCAGGTCACTTTTACCTTATTGAAATGAATTCCACTGTGAATTTCCGTGACTCAGTCTTGGCCTGTTATCAACCTGAAATCAACATACACTCACATTCTATGCAAGTCACCTATGTTTTGTTCAACTTCTGTAACAAAGGAGACTAAATTGGTTATTCTTTTAGACAGTATTCTACGTCAACATCCTAGGCTAATTCATACTCTCTAATTTCTCGCATTAAGTGTTAATCATTAAACCAGTTTCAGATAATAGTCTCAAGTCCACAGGAAGTGATTTTCTAAATTTCAGCCAGCTCTCCACTTGTTCTTCTATCTGATATATCAGCACAAAACAAGCATCTGATTGCATTCTTCCTGTTTTCCTGGCATCTGGAAACTGCATCACAGATCAGGATTCCTGAATTGATGTAAGGTTTACTGATATGAGTAGGAAAATCTTACTAATCTCAATAAGGAAGGGGGGGGGAGGGGGGAAAGGCAGCCAAAACACACCAGCAGACTCAGAGGCATCAATCAACTTATATATTTGAGTTTTTGCCAGAAATTGGTGAGCAGACACATTAAAGGCTATTCACACTTTTCCCTTATCCTTTCAGTCTCTATCAAGGCAATCACAGCCTTATCAACTCTCCAAGTCACAAAACAGGTACACTTAGTTCTTATTTATTTACATATATAAGTAAAAATAAAAGGTTAGTCCTGCGAAACGGTGACCCAAGCCAGCTTCCACTGAAATCACTGAGAATCCCAAGTACTTACTTGCAGGGCAGGGGGGAGGGGGTGGAACCCCAAACTTCCTTTTGTTGCCAAAAATGCAGTGTCAGAAACCCAATCTTTTAATACACATTAAAAACGATAGCCACAGTTAAGCATTATCCTTCCCTCCCACATTCAATATTTAACGGAAATGGTATTTTACTCTCCTAATATTTGAGACAAAACCATTCTATTCTTTAAGTACTTCTTTTTCTT